TGGCCAATTGTGAAACAGCTGTGTCGTCATCAGCGCTCCTGCAGTCGCTCTGAAAAAGCTGCGCCAGCTGAGTCAGCCGGCTGCTCTCGAAACGATATCGCGGTACTTTGATGCCACACGTGACAGTGACGTAGCGTCGGCGCCGGTTCAAGTCGGACAAAATTTCTAACAGGCATGCACTGCTTCAAGTCAGCCGCTGATCGGTTTGCGCGGCGCGGCATGAAGTCGAACGCACCTAAACGCACCTACAGAGTAGCACATGACATGATCACATGAGGGGCAAGGAACACATGACAGGAAATATTTATTTTTATCAAAATAAAAGACCAAAAAACCTAAACAAGAAAAAAAAAACCTCTAAGGGCAGCTCCAGACGCCCTAACCACCCAGAACAAAACCCAAAAACATCCAGGAGGGTGGTAGAGCAGAGGTGGAACGGGGGGAGGGATGGAGGGCCAGGGCCATGCAGGGGAACAGGATCAGAATCGCAGAACAGTGGTGGGCTTGGGCCTGACTGGAACAGAGGGCACAGAGAGGTTAACAGTGGCCTCTGCTGCCTCAACAGGACAAGCAGTGAGATCATGGACGGCCTCCTTGGTCGTGACAGGGCAGACTGTGAGTTCATGAACGGCCTCCTTGGTCGTGACAGGGCAGACTGTGAGTTCATGAATGGCCACCTTGGCCGTGACAGGGCAGACTATGAGTTCATGAACGGCCTCCTTGGCCGTGACAGGGCAGACTGTGAGTTCATGAACGACATCCTTGGCCGTGACAGGGCAGACTGTGAGTTCATGAACGACATCCTTGGCCGTGACAGGGCAGACTGTGAGTTCATGAACGACATCCTTGGCCGTGACAGGGCAGACTGTGAGTTCATGAACGACATCCTTGGCCGTGACAGGGCAGACTGTGAGTTCATGAACGACATCCTTGGCCGTGACAGGGCAGACTGTGAGTTCATGAACGACATCCTTGGCCGTGACAGGGCAGACTGTGAGTTCATGAACGACATCCTTGGCCGTGACAGGGCAGACTGTGAGTTCATGAACGGCCTCCTTGGCCGTGACAGGACAGGCAGAGAGTTCATGAACGGCCTCCTTGGCCGTGACAGGACAGGCAAAGAGTTCAAACCTCGTGAGGTTCTGCAGCTGAAGCTGCCATCTCTGGAGGTTCTGCAGTAGACGCCGCCACCTCTGAGGCAGACTCATGGACACGACAGGCCTCTGGGGCAGACTCGTGGACAGGAAAGGCCTCTAGAGTGCAGTGTGCAGCCTAAACACTCAGGATGGCTAATGCCATAACAGGAAGTACTGAGGATAGGGGAACAGCCTCTGTGATAGCCAGTGCTGAGGCCCTGGGGATGCCAGCTACTCGCACTGACATCAATGGTGGGTCCATCACACTGGCAATCAGTCCTGGCCCAAGCTCCGCATCCGCAGGAGTACTATAGCCCGCCCCCCCCCCAAAAAAAAATCCTATGCGAAACTTGCATGGTATCTGTAGCATGACGAGACTCTGGCATGGCGACTGTGGCGTTACGAGGCTCAGGCGTGGTGGCCATCTTGGCTGGGGACTCAGGTGTGGCAGCTATCTTGGCCAGGGCATGACGTGAGCAGGCCCTGGAGTTGCAGGCATGACGTGAGCATGCCCTGGAGTGGCAGGCATGACGTGAGCAGGCCCTGGGGTTGCAGGCATGACGTGAGCAGGCCCTGGAGTTGCAGGCATGACGTGAGCAGGCCCTGGAGTGGCAGGCATGACGTGAGCAAATCCTGACATGACGGTTGGGACGTGAAAATGCTCTGGTGCAGAGGGTGCAGCACAATTGCGGGGCTCCTCATCCGCAATCCCCACAGTAAACGAGGAACCACTCAACCAGAATGCAAAGTCAATATATTTAGCCAGAGTCCAGTGCTGAGTGTGACGTGGCATTAACTGAGATATTTCCATTGTGAGGCCAAAACGGAAGATGTCTTTAAGTGCCACATCATTAAAGTCTACTAAATGGCACAGTCCGCAAAAGTTGTCCACATAATCCTCAATCACCCGATGGCTTTGACGTAACTGTAGAAGTGCAACAGCTGGGTTCATTCTTTCGGTCGAGTATTCTGTAACAATCAGTCCACTGAAGACGAGTTGTGATGAACCCAAGTGCAGTTTTATTCAAAGTAATCCAAAATACAAACAAAGACTTGCGACTACAGTAAAAAAGCTTTTACTGTTCTAACGTTCAGATGGCTACTCTCGAAACGCTATCGCGGTACTTTGATGCCACACGTGACAGTGACGTGGCGTCGGCGCCGGTTCAAGTCGGACTAAATTTCTAAACGGCATGCACTGCTTCAAGTCAGCCGCCGATGGGTTTGCGTGGCGCCGCATGAAGTCGAACGCACCTTATGACAGGTTCATGAAACAAGGCAAAATATCAAATTAAAAGACCAGAAAACCTAAATAAGAAACAAAACCCAAACCCCACGTTACAGCATGATCCAGCATTCTATATTAAATTATTATTGTACGATATCAAGATACATAATGCATATGTATGGAAAGTCTCTAAGAAATAAAGCAAAGATCGCAACAACAATGGCATAGTTGTGTTAGTAGTTTGCGCTTTACAACAACACTGTTCCTCTTCCAAGCTCTTGTAATTTCGAGACTACTGCAATGTTCTGCTGACGGGACTACCAATTGTGGCCTGGATGAAATTTCAATTTTGCCGCTAACTTTTGGACTACCACTGGAACAGCCCCTCCATATTTCTTTTCACTTTTTCACACTAAAGAACTGAGAACTGGGGACCCTAAATGAGCAGTTATAATCAATCATCATCTTATTGGTGCATTTATTTATTTTTTAATGTATAGTTTAGCAAAGTAATATGCTAAACTATAATGTGTCTGCTAGTCAGAAAATGTTATCCTTGCCCATGTTCCCACAGGTTCTCACTCGCTGATGGTTTTTGCCACATACATTGCTGGACAGACACAGTTTCCCGAGTTCACTCTTGTACTGATGTTAGATGATGTGGAAGTGATGTACTATGACTCAGTATCATTGAAAGCTGTCCACCGCAGTCAGAGTAATTCAAGTGATGACAATGGTGCAGGTAGTATATTCAGTGATATATATGACATCATGAAAGATCGAACATTTTATCTTAAGGACCACCAAAATTGCACAGATGGTAAGAGCAACCCTATAAATTTTGGTATTACCAGCAATCAAAAATTCAATATTAAGAGATTCGTTTATGCGTTTTTTTGGCAACATATCTTAGTGTTACCTAACATTTATCACATTATGAATCATAATAGATTTTCTCAAGCTCTTTTTAGAAGCTAAATTATGATTATAGAAGCAACATTTGCTATTATATAATCATAAAAAAAGTGTTTTATTTGCCAGTGAAAACTAATCTGTTTGATTTCCATCCATTTGAAGGTTTGCATGTTTATCAGAAACGTGTTGGATGCGAATTGCTTGACAATGATCAGCCAGGTTTGTTTCTTTCATGGGATGCTTTTAATGGACAAAATACTGAAGAGTTCACCTTTGATGTGGCAAAAAGAACTATGCAAATTAATTTACCATGGATGAGAATAAAAGGCATGGGTCAGATGGAATGGCTTCATGTGAAGTTTCTGTATGAACATGTTTATCATCCTGTTTGCATGAAGACTTTGCGGGCATTCCTGGAAAAAGAAAAGAACACTGTGATGCGAAAATGTAAGTTAGCATTAGTTTAAATAAAAATAATAGTTCACCTATTATAGCACAAGAGTTGTATGAACTACTTTAGTAATACTTTTTTTTCTTTTCTTTATTAGAGCTTGATGGGCTGTAACATTTTTTATTCCAGGTTTAACTATTTAAGATATAATCAAGAATATGAACATAAAGTAACTCATAAAAGCATATGACTGACAGTAAAGACTAAATGTTTGGGATGCTTTACAAAGACTCATATTACCTATAAATAATTAATGCATTGTCACATTACTGTCCACTGTTTCTAACCTTCCTTTCTAAAGTGAAACCCAAAGTCAGACTCTTTAGGAAGCCTCTTACAGACTCTCAAGGGCTTCAGATCAGCTGTCTGGCCACTGGTTTTTACCCCCGTCACATTAACCTGACCCTGTTCAGAGATGGTCAGCCTGTGGATGATGATCAGATCACAGGAGGAGAGATTCTGCCCAACGGAGACGGAACTTACCAGATGAGGAAGAGTTTGGTGATCAGTAAAGAAGAACTACATAACGCATATTACAAATGCACAGCAAACTACCTAAACCTGGACAACAAATTGGACATTGCTTTTGGTAAAGAAAACTAGCAAACAATCATTAGAACATAATTTTTAACCCGTTTAATACCAAATTTTTCCCAGACATGAAAATATCCAAATTATGTGTCATTAGTAACCCTTTTAAATAATCAATAATTACAAAATTAACATATTTATGCATAAAAATTGTTATATATCTTAGCCTAGCTATTTTAAACTGTTTGATCACATTCTAGGGTTACTATTATGCATAAAAAAACCTTATACAACATTGATAGGAATACTGAGATAAAAGACAAAAAAATACAACCATCAAGGTAATTTCAAAATTGTTACTTTTTTTTTGTAAAATATATAATCACATTTTTATACAAATATTTGTCATATCTTTGTTAACATACTTTACTAGCCTTTCGTTTTGGAGCTTTGATGCAGTCATCAGCTTCTCAAGGCGCGAACAGGAAATAAACTGCTCTGGTCATGTGACAATTTGCACTAATCATGTGAAACAGCACATATTTAAATGAGACCCTTTATTTTTTCCATATTTGCAGGAAGTGCACTAAAACATCAGTCAGTAAGGTTTTTAGAGCTTTATAAATGAAAACCTTTTTTACGGTCACTATTGTGACCGGTGGGATTAAATGGGTTTAAATATATGGGCAACATGTTCAATTCACGTTTATTGAACCCACTTTATATTAAGTGGCCTTAACAACTATGTACTTACATTTAAATTTATAATTTGGTACAATGCACTTATTGTGTACATACATGTTTTTACATTGTACTTATATTTGAAAAATATCTGCATGTAATTACATCTGTAATTAATTTCTGTAATTACATTTATAATTA